GCTTCACTGGAGGGCCTCAGGGCCAGGTTGGATTTCCACTCAGTCACACAAAATGCTGCACGGCATGGTTGGGTGTGGAAGCAGGAGTGGAGTCCAGTGTCTTCTGAGAAGTAGGGGTCAAGATTAGAAGCACAGCCTCCTGCTGGCTGGTGGGCTGCACTCAAGGGGGGCTTGAGGAAAAGCTTTCAGGCCGCCCGCCTGCCCCTGTCCCACAGCAGCCACCGGTGAAGATAAGAGGGGAAAATTACAGTCATCTGAAAGAAAATTACAGCCCAAGGCATCTCCACTCCCTGATTCCTCTACAAGCTGAGCTGGGACTGTCAGGGAAATTGAGGGCCCCGTCAGGCCCTCCTGGGAAGGAAAAAAGTCTTTGATTTTCCCCTCTTCCAGTAATTGTCCACTTCCCTGCCACGGATCCACTTTGCCAAGTGGCCACCACTCAGGAAGCTCACCATACCTCAGGGACAGTCACCCGGAGCCCACGGCCTGGTTCTGTGTCCGTGGCCCAAGGAGGCCAGGTGAGCAACACAGAAGCCCGGAGAACATCCCTCCGATGGGCAGGAGCAGGACAAAGGGGGTGATGGAGGACAGGCTCTGAGGGGCCAGTCTCACAGCCATCTTAAGGCTGGCCTTCTCCTGACCACCTTGACCTTCCGCTCTGTCCTCATTTTCCCTAACACAGCTCTACTTCTGAGTATTGCTCTCTGAGGCCAATGACTTTATAGAGTAGGTTTCACAAGCCTCACAAGCTGACCTCACCCATTTTGCATCTGGCTTCAGAATCTGTTGTGGGGACTTCTAGGAAATCAGCAATGAGTGATTCTAATAATCGCTTGTTCTTGGAAATTAACTAAAATAACTTGGCCAAATGAGGGGCAGAACAGTCCTCTATGATGACATTTCTCCTTCATTCAATCCCAAATGTCGAGTTCCAGTTACTCATAAAAGAAGTTCTTGCTTGCATCGTTCCAAGTTCTAACAAATTTCTAGGAAATACCACCAGAATGACGTGGCATCATTAGGGTGTGTTTTCAAGAACTCTTGCTAGCTGCTCCCTTTGCCTGCAGACTCCAGCTGAATGAAGTCAGTCACTTTCCGCGTTCCATTCTCTGAGCTGTGTCTGAATGGCAACACCGATGAGCTCACATTCTTGCCCAACCTGGATATTCCAGAGTTCACTCAGCACTCTCTCCTCCCCAAGTCTACATTTCTCATCACTTGGACTCTGTCTACCCGTGATGCTCTGAAGGTTTCCGAGTGAGTCACTATTCCTGGCCTATTTCGTTACTCGCCATCCACCTCCAGCCTAACAGACAGTCTGGTGTCAATGGAGCTCCCGGAGGACCAGTGGTAGAGTCAAGATGGTCCCGGCAGGTCCCAAACGCAGCTTCCTCTGAGACGTCAGCATCTGCGTCCCCACCTATCTGTGGGCCTCCTTGGCGGTTCAGGCTGTCTTCACACCCACTGCGATAGCCTGGCCCTGTCCCAGTGCGAACCTAGACGAACTTCCGTTGCTAGGAGGCAACCGGATCTGACTCGCACCGAGGTTGTAGCTTCACACTGGGCTGGCGAGTGGGGGTTTAGCACCTTCCACTGGGAGAGGAGCTAAGCCGCAGAAACTGGCTTGGGTTACATTCCAGGGTCCGGCCAATTTGGCAGCCCTGTGGGTCGAGGCGGGTGTGTGGCCAGCCCTAAGTCCAGCAAAACTAAAATGCACACAATGGCACTTGGCTGCGGTGTTAATGCTCTCAGGCAGGCTTCACCAAAGGTGCCCCACCTGCAATCCGTGATTTCTGCTGCCACGTTCTTCCTAATACTCTTCCTCCTACAAGGAGTCCCCTCTGCACATCTCTCCTTCTGCAACTGGGACCCACCTTTATGCTAGTGTCACTCTTGAGAAATAGTACAGGCCACCCTTGCACATCAGAGTGTTCTCTACCCTCTGCCGTCTCAAGTCACACCTTGGCCACACCTATCCCTGCCCAGCGAAGCCCACAGCCGTGAGGCTTTCCACCAGTTCTGGACACCTGAGCTTTCTCAGAGGCTGAATCTGGGTACCAGCTCCGGAACATCAAGGAGGCCCCTCTTTCTGGACATCTGGGCTTTGTGAGAGGCTAAAGCTGGAACATAAAGGAAGTCCCCCCTTTCTGAACATCGGAGCTTCATCAGAGGCCGGAGCTGGAGTTCTGGCTCTGGAATGTCAAGAAAGTCCTTCTTTCCGGACATCTGAGCTTCACTAGAGGCTGGGGCTAGAGTCCAGGCTCTAGATCATCAAGGAAATTCTTCTTTTTGGGCAGCGGAGCTTTGTCAAAGGTTGGAGCCAGGTCCCAGCCCTAGAACATCAAGGAGGTCCCTCTTTCTGGACATCTATGAAGCTCTCAATGAAGCTAGAGCTGAAGTCCTGGCTTTACAACATCAAGGAGGCCCCTCAGCTCTGGAACATCAAGGAGGCCGCTCAGCTCCGGAACATCAAGGAGGACCTTCTTTCTGGAAATCTGGGCTTTGTCAGATGTTGGAGCTGGGTCCCGGCCCTAGAAGATCAAAGCAGTCCCTCTTTCTGGACATCTGCACTTCATCGAAAGCTTGAGCTGAAGTCCTGGATTTAGAACATCAAGGAGGTCCCTCCTTCTGTATACTTGATCTTCATCAAATGACAGAGTTGAAATCCTGACTTTAGAACATCAAAGAGGCACCTCTTTCTAGACACCTGAGCTTCATTAAGTGCCACAGCTGAGTGTTGGCTCAAGAACATCAAGGAGGTTTGTCATTCTGAACATCTGAGGCTGGAGCTAGAGTCCTCGCTCGAAAACATCAAGGTAGTCCCTCTTTCTGGACATCTGAAGCATCACTGGACACTGGATCTGGAGTCCTGACTCTAGAACGTCAAGAGGTCCCTCTTTCTGGACATCTGAGCTTCATCGGAGACTGGATCTGGAGTCCTGACTCTAGAACATCAAGAGGTCCCTCTTTCTGGACATCTGAGCTTCATCGGAGACTGGATCTGGAGTCCTGACTCTAGAACGTCAAGAGGTCCCTCTTTCTGGACATCTGAAGCATCACTGGACACTGGATCTGGAGTCCTGACTCTAGAACGTCAAGAGGTCCCTCTTTCTGGACATCTGAGCTTCATCGGAGACTGGATCTGGAGTCCTGACTCTAGAACATCAAGAGGTCCCTCTTTCTGGACATCTGAGCTTCATCGGAGACTGGATCTGGAGTCCTGGCTCTAGAACGTCAAGAGGTCCCTCTTTCTGGACATCTGAGCTTCATTGGAGGCTGGAACTGAGTCTCAAATCTGGGACATCAAAAGTGGGGTGGCTCATTCTGAATGTCCAAGGTACAACAGAGGCTGGAGCTGGGATCTCAGCTCTTGAATATCAGTGGGTGGCTCCCTCTGGACATCTGAGGTTCATTGGAGGCTGACACTCTGCTCCCCACACAGGACTCTCCTGGACTCTCAGCCTGCTCTTGGCTGACTCATCTAGGAGGATGCACTCTGAAACTCACCTCCTCCTCTCACTGCGGCCTGATTCATCACTCAGCACTGTCCACGTCACCATCTCCATCAGAAGCTGGGTCAGGTCTCCTTTGCCAAGTGATGGCCATGATCACCAAGGCAGCTCTTTCTCTCAGCAAAGGGGGCTGTGCTCAGAACTTACACGTAGCTGGACTTGCCTGCAGTTCTCTTGACGCACCTCCCTGTGAAGGAGAGGAGGAGGGAGGAGGAGAAGATAAAGAGAGAGGAGCGGGCAGGAGGGAGTAAAGAATGAAGGGAAGGAAGGAGGAGAAAAAGGAAGAAGAGGGAGACAGAGGAGCAGAATGGAGAAGGAAAGGAAAAAGGAAGGAGGAGAAAGGAAAATGGAAGAAGAAAGAAAAGAAGAAGGCAGGAAAGGAAGGGGAAGAGGGAGAAAGAGGAGGAAGGAGGGAAGGAGAAAAGAGAGGGACGAAGAGAAGGAGAAGGAAGAAGAGGGAGGAAGAGGAGGAAAAGAGAAGGTGGGAGGAAGAGGAGAAAGAGAAGGAGGGAGAAGAAGGAAGGAAAAAAGGTAGGAAAGGGGGAAGAGAAAGAGGAGGAGAGGAAGGAGAAGAGGGAGGAGGTGGCAGTGGTGTCCATGGCCGAGAAGGTGGTGGTAGCTGTGGTGGCCGTGGTGGCTGTGGCAGCTGTCGTGGCCATGACAGCTGTGGCGGCTGTGGCAGATGTGGTGGCCCTGGTGGCCGTGGTAGCTGTGGTGGCCATGGTGGCTGTGGTGGCCGTGGTGGCTACAGCAGCAAAAGCAGTCAGTCTCTCCTTCCTCACAGGGAGCATGTTCTTATCTGCTCCAGTGAAGCCAGGTGTGCGGACTCAGGATCCATCTTAACTTGGGCCTAGTGCCCTTCAGCCCCTTGCCCCTCAGTGCCCCTGCTCAGCCCAGCTGCTCTGGGGGTGCAAGACTCACCTTCCAGCTTGGCCAGCACTCCTGCCATGGGCAGGGATGGGTCTGAGGCTCCACCTTTGCAGCCCTGCTCAGGAGCCATTTTGAGGAATGACTGGCCCCAGCCTGACTGGGCCATCTTGGCCATCACCCGACATCAGTTCAAGCATGTTGACCACTCAGCCCGGCCCTGGGGATTGTGGGAAGAGGAGGAGGAGGAAGACTCAAAGCCCCAGGGGAGCTTCCTCTCTGGGGCTCCAGGAACCAAGGCAGTGAGCTGAGCTCAGAACCCCTCTCCACCACCAAAGCCGGACTTGCCCCACCTCCTCCTGTACCATCCCTTCTGGAAAGAAGCCTGGCATCCCACGATCCACAGAAGGAGGGGACCGGAGAGCTGTTAGTTCATCCAAGTATGAGTCAACCTCTGGACCTCTAAAAAGCACCCTCCCCTTGAGAGCCCAGTGGGCAGGGCAGGGTGCTGGCAGCTGCATGGGGTTCCAGCCGATTCCCCACCCTCCCACCCATCACACTGCCCGAGAGACAGAACACCCAACACTCACTCTCCCTATATTAGTAGCACATCCATCACTGTTTGTTAAGACAGGAAACACATTTATTGAGAGCACAGTGGGGTGTGCCAAGCCCTGTGCTTTGCCGCATCACAGTGCCCTCACAACAGCCCTGTGAGGTAGGTGAACCAGCCCACCACTCCCCGCATGCAGACACCGAAGGCTCGGCAGCTCCCCTAGGCCTCAGGGTTCCTGCGGGGTGGGCAGGGGTCCAGCCCACGGGTCTGACCCCAGGTCAGCGGCGTCCATCAGTCAGAGGGCGGGTCTCTACTCAAGGGGGTGCCCCGGGTCCAGAGTCTCTGGGTCCAGCCTGTCCCGTGGGAATAGGTGCAGGGCGTCCCCGTGGCTGTGGAGGCTGAGAGAGACACAGTTGCAGATGAAGTCCACCTGCCCCCGGCCTCGCTGGCCGACAAGAGTTCACAGACAGGCAGGCCTCAGGAGGAGGGGGAGGAGGGCGAGTCCGTGCTCAGGGGCTTCCGGCAGCATGGGGGCTGAGGGGAGCACCCAGCCACCAGCTCTGCCCGTCTACCTACTGGCCCCTCAACTTCTGGTGTCCTCTACCCTACCTTGGACTCTGCCCACCTGCAGAAACTTCTGGAAGCATCAATCTAGTCCTGACACCCTCCCTCAGCTGCAACCTCCGGTTTTTCTCACCTTGATAACCCAGAACCCAGGACTCTCCGCCTTTCTAAATGCTATCCCCAGCTCTTCTGCCCAGCCTATCCGGCTTTGCTGTTTTTCTTAAAACTCAGTCTCTTCCTCCTCCAGAGAGCTTTAAATTTTCCCTTCTGAACCTCTCCCATCCAAACCTGCTGAGTCTCTGTATTTAAAAGCAAACCCCTCCCTCTGCCACTGTCTCCCCAGAGCGGGCTGGTGCTTCCCCCCTTGCCCTCTACTCTGCCCACGAGTCCCTGGGGCCAGCACAGATAGTTCCAGGGGGCACAGGACCTCTGCAGCCAGCATCCAGCGGCCCAGGTCTCCAGCTGGGCCCACCAAGAGAGCCGATGTGAGAGCCCCTGTGTGCCAGGTCACAAAGCATTTATTTCACACAAAGAATCTCATTGAACCCCACAATAACCATACCAGGCAGGTATGATGCTTTCCAGGTTACAAACAGCAAACTTTCCCAGGCCACAGAGTCAGAGGGGTTGGGGGGGGCCTTGAACCCAGACCTTGAGTCTCAGGAGTCGGCCTATGGTGTGCAGCGAGGATTCTCAGGGCTCATGGTCATCCCCCAAGCAGATGCTGTCGTGAATTACCCTCATTTCTAATAGGTGGGAAGATGGAGGGCGGTTCAAGTAACCTGCCTGGTACCCATGCACCATTCTTTGGGGGTGAGACAGATGAAAGGAATCCAGGTCTGGGGTCTGACGCCCCCACCCCTCCAACCCCAGTTTTCTGGATGTCTAAGGCTGCATCCCAAACCTGACAGGTGACTCACAGGTCATTGCTAATTGTCACCAATGGTGGGAACGAGGACTCCTCAGGGGAAACAGCCTCCTCCCAAGGCAGGGGCTTCTGAGGGCTCAGGGACATCCCTCCCCTTAGAAATTGCCAAGTGTATTATACATTCTCAAAATCACACGCACCGCAGCAGCAACAGGGGCACTTTGGTCCAGATGAAGTTTTATCCTAGATATAAATGTTTCCAAAATATGGTGTTCCACTGGGGGAAACCCACCCGTGACTACCTGGCCCCCAACTGGCAGGGAGGGCAGTGAGGCCCCAGAACGGGCAGAGACCTTCCCCAGTTCAGAGCTTCCTCCGAAGGATCTGCCAAGAAACACACCCTTTCCTCTTAAACAAATGCGCCTACACTAAGCAAACGGCCCATTCAGTTCTTCACAGCCATTTAAACCCTCCCCTCCACAGGGGCGAGCATCTATTAGGCACCTACTGGTGCGAGAGGCAGGGTTCGTATGGGGCTCAGAGAGGGGCTCAAGGCTTTGTGGGGACCTCCCTGAGCCTGTGTCCCCACCTACCCCCAGGAGACCAGGGCCAGGTCCGCCCACCTCCAGGGGATGCTAGGCACCTGATAGAGCCCCCAGCCCTAGGTCACACACAGGCCCAGCCTGAGAGGACCCCAAGGCCCACCCAGGAACAGACACCTAAACACAGACTCAGAATCTCCTGGGAGGAGCTCCCTGCTGTGAAGCCCCATGAGAGAGAGCACTGAGGAGGGGCCCCCCGCTGCTTCCAAGTTCCCAAGAACAGGGGACGGGCAGGGGGCAGACACCAGGGGCCGCACTGCAAGGGCCCCTCAGCAGAGCCCAGGGGAGGGGAGAGTCAGGGGACCTGTGTGGGTGCTCCTGGGGGCAGGCACGACAGGGGCCAAGGTGTGGCGGCCACACCTCACAGTGAAGCTCAGGCTGCAGAAGAAGAGGCGGCGGGTGAGACCCGAGGCAGCAACCGGGCCAACAGCCTGCCCACTGAGGCTGTGAAGCTGGAGACAAAGGGGTGGGGCAAGGGAGGCTGGCATGGGGTGGGGGCCGGAGGGGGTGCAGAAGAACACTCAGTCAAGCCCCCACCAGCTGGCATGTGGGGACATGAGAGCCAAATACTGCTCCCCTACATGCCAGAGACGACAGCTGGAAAGGAACACAGAGGTCTGGTGAAGAGACCCCGGATCTGAGGCGACCTGTGCCTGGGGTGTCTGGAGACCCCCACCAGTGCAGCAGCACCTTCTCTGATGTGGCTGAGTGCCCCGGAGGGCACAGTCTCCTTCCTCCTCCCTGTACTCCTCTACCAGAGCACTCCTGGGTACTTGGCGGGGGCGGGGCTGCACCAGGCTGCACTTGCTGGGGGCTGGCAGGGGTGAGCTGGACCAGGCCGGGGGCCTTATTTAGTGGACTCAAAAAAGCACGGGCTGTTTGTGCAAGGCTGGGCAGTCCTGGCTCCGACACCAGCTGTCCCGATCCTCAGCAGTCTCGTCTAAGAAATCGGCCCGCACTCCAGTTAGAGAAGGGAAAGTGTCCAAGACCCCCGAGCTTGGTGCCAGGCCGATGAAAGGTGGCAAAACCCACCTTCTGCACCTTCTACCAGGGCAAGAAAAGGGCCATGAGGAAATGTGGAGCACAGGGTGAAGGAGGGTGAGTACCCCAAGCATGCCACCCAGAAGCCCCTCTGCATCCTCTCTAGGTCACCCCACTCCTCCTCCCTAGCAACCCAGGGGCATACACGAATGTTTGCAGAAGCCCCTCCAAGCAGACAGACTGTCCCCTCATGGCACCGACAGGTACAGCAAACCCCAAAACACCACGGCCCTGCCAGCTACAACCTGCTGGGGGGACGAAGTAGCCCACGGTGGAATGGGGGCGGGAATGAAACAAATATTTACCCTGAGCCCACTGGGCTAAGCACCTGCAGGCGGCTCCACCAGTGGCTTGCACATGCCATCGACTGTGGGAGGCGCAATCCCAGCATAAGGTCAGGGCTGACTTTTTATCCACTTAGGAATAGCAAAGCCATCACTCACGCTTTCAAGACAAACCCCACATGTGCCCATTCCCAGGGAAAGCCAGCATCTGCACAGCACTGTGACAGCGCACCCACCCTCAGCCCTCACAACAGCCCTGTGAATTGGGCTTTCTGGTGACCCACGGCTTAGAGAAAAGGAGATCAAGGGTCAGAGAGGCAAAGGGTGAGTTAGGCGGCTCCTGCCAGATCCTGCCAAAGCCCAGGCTCTTCCTAACACACAGCACAGCTTCTCCTCAGACAGCTAGAGTTCCATCACATGACAGCAAAGCAAGGCTCTGCTTTTCAGACGTGGCATACATACGTCCATAAGGTACAACATGGCAATGGTTAACAGGCTAATGAAAAGCGAAATAATAAACTCTTAGTAAAGGTCACAAACATCAAGGCGTGTCACTGGTTACAATTTCATTAGCTATCCATCCATTTGACAGAGAAGGAAGGCACCAGCCTACCACTCATCAGGCTCTGTTGGGTACCCAGCCTGCTGGCATCTGAGCCCAAATGGTGTCAGTTAGAGGAGGGAACAATGCAGTCTTTGATGGCTGGTGTCTAATAGTTTGGGGAAAAGGACACCACCCAGAGGGGCCTTTTGAAGACGGTCACATGCAGGTGCTGCCCACAGCATTCAAAACGCACAGTCAGGCGTGTCCAGCCTCTCAGGAGAGCGTGAACAATTCCCCCCGGGGTGTCCAGGGGCATTGCCCAAAGAGTCTTCCAAACCCCTAGCCCAAAAGTTCCAACCACAATTCCTCCTGTCCTACCACATACCCCTCCATGTTTAGAGATAAGCACTTTCCCACTCGGCTGTCTGAGTGAGGCCATCGCCCTGGCCTTTGACCCTCACTCCCGTGGCACACCCCCGGGGACACACACACTGCGCTTCCAGAATCACAGTTCAAAATCACGGTTACATGGCTCCTCACAACAGCTTCCCCGGAAGGCAGACTCAGCCCCAGCTCTCACAGTGAGTTTCAACCATGCAAGTTTGTCCAGCCCCAGGGTTTTGGCTTTGCCGCCTGTCCTTCCTCTCCAAGGCAATGAATAACATTCAGAACTCCAGGTAGAACTCCCAAGACTATGCCTCAACCCCCACCCACGCAGCAGGCACTCTGGGAGTTCTCACCTCGCCTGGGACCCACAGCTCGGGGCTGCACCCAGAGTCTGTAAAATGCCACATGCCTTGGACACCCAGGTCTGCCAATGGAGTGTTCTATGCAGACCCCCACATGGGAGGTGATTCTTCTCACCCACATGAGCAATCATCTCCCCCAATTTTCTCTAAATACAGCTGGGCATTAACTACTCTTGAAAGGGGCAGGAATGGCTCCAAGATCCCTCCAGGAAAGGCCGGAGTGCCCTAATGACTTGAAAGCCTGCTCACGGCCAGAAGCAAGCACTCATCTCAACCCCCAGCTCTCATTTTGGCCTCTTGAGGATGTGGGCTGTGATTTCTGAGCACCCAGGGAACACAGTTGGCTGATTCCAGCTGTACAGGGAAAAAGTCAGAGGGGCAATCAAACCTGCAACAGAACTAGAATCTACAAGTCTGAGCTGATTCCAGGACCTCTGCTTGTCACTAACACAAGCATAGCCCCTTACCAACATGTTCATTGTTTTCTTTCTTTTTTTTTTTTTTGAGATGGAATCTAACTCTGTTGTCCTGGCTGGAGTGCAGTGGTGCCACCTCAGCTCACTGCAATCTCTGCCACCCAGTTTCAAGAGACTGTCCTGTCTCAGCCTCCTGAGTAGCTGGGATTACAGGCACCTGCCACCATGCCTGGCTAATTGTTTTGTAGTTTTAGTAGAGATGGGGTTTCACCATCTTGGCCAGGCCAGTATTGAACTCCTGACCTCATGATCCACCTGCCTCAGCCTCCC